ACTGTCTACTTAAAGAGTTGTATTGAATGCTTATCCTTCCACACAGGAAATGTGTATGGTAAGTGATTGTTGCAATAAATCCAAACAACTCTGGGCATCTTCGCGTTTGATGATCTTCCTAACTCCGGGCTTAAAGAGGAAGAAAAAGTGGTGGGGGTGGGAAAGGCGACTTAACGGGCTGTACGGACCGGGCTGGCGGTGCCCCCTCCCGCTGCCCTCCCCGGGATTGAATAATTCCCGAAGCGGCAGGAGAGGAGCGGCCCCGGCTGCGCCCCGATCGCCGCTTCCCGACGGGGTCGCGCGGGACTGAGCCGGGCCGGATCGGACCCGTCCGAACCGGACCGGACCAGACTGGACCGGGCCGGGCCGGGCCGTGCCCGAAACCCCGGCCCAGCAAACACCTGTTTAATGCGCCGGCGGGGAGCGGGAAGTGGCGGGGCTTGGCGGCGTCGGTAGGCTCCAGCCCGGGGCTCACCCCCGACGGATTTTATTTTATTTTATTTGGGCTTACTGAACGATCCCCTCGGGCGGCGGAGAAAAGCCGGCAGCGGGAGGGAGAGGGGGCGGCAGGCGGGTGCCGGCCCGCTTGGCCGCCCGGGCGGGGCGCGCTGCCTGAGGGGCCGGTGCCCGGGCCGGGCTGCCCGCCGGAGCGGGGCTTCCCCCGGGGCGACGCCGCCGGCGATTTTCGTTCGGATTTCGCCAAAATCGGAAGCGGGGCCGAGGATGCGAGCCGGGGGCGAAGCGGCAGCGAACCCCCTCGGTAGGCTGTGGGTTGTTTGATTTTTTTTTTTTTTTTTCCCTTTTCCTTTCTCTGTTTTTTTTCCCCTCTTCTCGAACCCGCGGCGCTTCCTCTCTGAGGCAGCCGCCGCCGCCGCCGCGGGAGCGCCCTCACGGCCCGGGGGCTTTTCCCCCTGGTTTTTTTTTTTTAAAAATTGAGGTGTTTTTTTTTTTTTTTTTTTTTTTTCTGGAAGAAGTTTACAGGCGAACAGAAGCGGGGGCGCAGTCCGGGACCGGGACTGGGGCCGCTCCGCCCGGTCCCGCCGCCGCCTCCTCCGCTCCCCTGATTTTTTTCCTTTCCCCATTAAACCGGTTTCCACAGCAGCTGTCCGGGTGTGCGGCTGCAGTTGGCATATTTAACGCGTTGGAAAAAAAAAAAAATTAACTGTTTTTCCTTTGTATCTTAATCCAGTGATGAGAGCTCTCCTTTGTTGGCTTTCGAGCTTGCATTTGTTTTATTTATTATAAGGAAATCCAGTTTGGTTCAAATATATAATCCATTTGAGCACCTAAATCCCCAAACAGCTGGCATTATTTTGTTTTATAATCTTTGGCTTTTCTGCGCAGAGCATATTTCTGAATTCCTACTTGACATTTATGGGGAAAAACTTTTTAATGTAAATGGATATTGTGATTTTTTTTTTCCTGGGTGTTTCCTAATTTACATGCATTACCAATTTTCCTGGATTTCCTCATGTTTTAATCTTTTTTCCTCCCTCGTATCTTGCTAATTAATTTTTTCCCCAGGAAAACTTTTTTTTTTTTCTGGAGGGAGAAAGACATTAATTTGCCCCATTATTTTAATCTCTGGCATTTGGAAATGGTTGAGAGACCACAAAAATGCAACCTGTTGTAGAAGCCAGAGTGGTGTGTTTTATTTATTTTAATCGATAGCAGAGAGGTGATTTAGTAATAGGAACTCCGAGTAACATTTTAGTAAAAGATTTGCAGATCTGGTGGCTGTGCATGGGGTGTGCATGTGCTTGCATATGAGCGCGTTTCTTTGCAGGCTGATTAGCAAGTGGGGTTTACGCTTGTAACCAGCGGTCACTGCTGTTTTCTCCCCTTGCTGGGTGTTTGTGGTGCCTGCTAAACCCAGCTCTGTCATGGCTTCTCCTACTTTTATCAGACTTTCCCCTTAACTAATGCAGCACAGTGCTGCAACCTCTGTAAGCAGAGGAATCAAAACTGAGCCAGAGAGGACTGATTACAACTTGTTCCTTGGTGAGAGATTTTTTTTTTTTTTTTCCTGTGGTTCAGAGCTAAAGGCTCTCGATTCAGTTTGCCTTGGTTGTGGCATGTTTAGCCTTGTTGTTAGTAACATACATGATTACACGGGTAATTTGTGTACATCTTAAAGAGGGTAGCTCTAAAAACCAATTACTCTGCATATAGGTAGCCATGAAAAAAATAACAGTAAAAAAATCAGAGTTACTTTTCAGTGTGTCCGTCTAACCTTCATACTTGGTAGACAGTTTATGTAGCGTCCTAGATTGATCTCCACCCCTCCTCCATCTACTCCTTGTTTAGTTAATTCAACAAAGACTTTTTGCAATCTGTTTGGAGTTTGTCTGATGCCGTGGAAAAGTAGCTGCTGATTTATTTGGTTGCTTTTCGATTTCTGTCTCTAGCCCGTCTTTTCTCCTCCTTTCAGCGGGGATGTCAGCTGTTATTACTTCCTATTGATCCCTTTGCAAAGTGAGAAGTGAACTAAAATTAATGTCAATTCCACTGCTCGGATCAATAGCTGGAGTTATTTTAATCTGGATTTGCACGAGGTGCTAAATTAAAAAAAATCAGCATAGAGGCAGAAAAGTAGCAGCTCCTCACTCCACCTGTGCCCACTGCCTTCCCAGCACCCAAATGTTCCCTCCAGCTGATTACCCTGCAATCCATATTTTTTTAATTAAGGAGGTCAGTTAGTTTTCTTATTTTTGGGTTCTGTATTTAAACCTATGACATTTTGACATTGGGAGTGTATTAACGATAGATTTTCATAATGACTGGTCCGCCGCAGCCTAATCTGCCCGTGTTGCTGGGGGGTGGGGAGGTGCTGGGCGAGCAAGGAGCAAGAGAGAACGAAAAAGGAAGTGGGAGCTGAAAAAAAATTAAATTTGGCTGGCTGAGATATTGTAATGTGTTGATTTATTCCCGGTGTAATGAAGTTTGCAAACGAATAAACGGCCATAGTGATTCACAGTATCCTACAGGAGTGTCAAGTGTTGCGGCCAGATTACTAATTTATGAAATACATTTAACGTAATGGGGTGAAAGCACAAGTAAAAATAGAAAAGCGGGCAGAGGTGGCTGCTTTCTTTTTTTTTTTTTTTCCCTGGAAATCCATGTTTTTCCGTGATTGCTCAGTTTCGCTTCCATGTTAATGATTGTTTATTTCTGAGAACAGCAGCTCATTTGCACGCATTTCTTTAGATATATAACTATGTGCATGTGTATATATATATATATTTACATGGTTACACGAGCCCCCAGCCAGTGGCTGCAGTTTCCTGACCTCCAGGTTTTGATCAGCCTCGTGTGAAGCAGCAGAGCAAGTGTACCCAGGACTGCAGTGCTGACCAGGATGCCCTTGGCACCCCTCGCTCTTCCTCTCCCCCTCGCTCTCTGTGGCAAGAACTCAATGAGAAAGTTATTTAAAATTTGGAAGAGAGCAAATCCGTTAATGCGAGATACATAATCTGGTAATTTAGCAATGATGTCTGTAAGGATGGGTGCCAAATGAGGAAGCAGAGAGATGATGTCCACTCATCTTCACAATTCATAACAGTCAGTGGAGTGGCTGGGTACAGGATGGGAGAGAGAGGAAATGCTATCACTGAACTGCATTAAAGCCCCAGACTGGATTTCATACACTTTGTTAACCTAGGCTCCCTCATTCATGGAGTACAAAAGGCACTCCATTAGGGAGACACTCTTTCACTAAGTTTTATTTGAGATGTTTGACCCTCTGGATTTAAGAGGCACAATTTGTAACAGCTTTTTATTATTATATGATTTTTCTGGCCCTTTGAGCTCCAGCAGCCAGTATATTGTTTCAAAGTTATAGTCCTTGTATTTTAAGCTGGGTTGTGGGGCCTGAATGGCAGGCGGCGGAAGCTTAAAAGAAAAGACATGAGATTGATTGGGGGAGAAAATAACAACACAAAAAGCCACTGCGAACTGGGGGAGACACAGAAAGGACCATTTTCCCTCCTTTCACCCTGGGAGGGGGTTGTGGCTGGGAGGGTGGCTGCCGCCAACCTGGGAGGCTCAGCAAGATGCGAGGCAGAAATTTTGTTAACATTTTCCTCTAAATGTTAATGGCACATCCAGGGCAGTTTGCAAATCTACTTAAGAGTGAGTGCATTAGGAACTAAAATTACTGATCCATCCTCTCTTGTCCCCGACCCGAAAGGCAGACACTTGCAGAGATCAGATGGCAGAAGCGCCCATTATGATTTTAAATATTGCCAGAGACGCCAGGCATTTTACTGGGGAAGTCTCTTCTCCCCTGGCTACCAGGGACCGTGTGTGCACGCGTGGGTGTTTGTGTATTACACACACGCACCAAGGCACGGTCGCATTCCTACATTCCAATGATGTGTGTATATATATATATATATATATGATGGTATTGAGTGTTGTGTCTGTGAGTACTTATCTACCCATACGTACTGTGAGAGTGAGAGAAAATACATGTCTGCTGTGTAAGTCTCAGGCATCGTGTACAGTGTAACTGTGTGTGCTGGCTGGTTTGGGTTAACTGTGTACAAAGGATATTTTTATATTGGTTTTACACCTCCTCCCCAAGCAAATAGTGGTGTGTGTATGGGGGGGCTTTCTTAAGTTTAGTGCGGTTACGTATACATGCCACTTGCCGTATAAAATCCCAATTATAATTTGGAGTTACTATGTTAATTTTAGGCCGAACCTTTTTCATTAGTGCATTATTAAATCTGCATGTTATTATGTTTGGTTTGCCTTTCATTCATCTGCGCTGGATGATACCCTTTAACCTGGAGGGCCAGGGCTGATTCCACTAGTGTGTGAAGTTGTCTATTGATTTTCTTGAATGAGAACAGTGGCGCGTCTCCGGCCGGTGGCTTGTAACACATGTGGCCACCCTGCTGCTGGGGCGTCCCAGAGAGATGAGTGCAGCAGCCTAACCGGCTGTGTTTTCTTTCCTTTTCTGTTTCCTTGCAGTGTTCGAAGGGTGACGATGCTCCAGTAATTTCCCCCGCTCCACTCCTGGGCATCGCCTTGCTTTCCTTCCAGGGAAGATCGTTCTGCTCGTGACCCCGCTGAGGAAAGAGACTCCGATGGACTTACACCGGGCAGCGTTCAAGATGGAGAACTCACCCTATCTCCCCAACCCACTGGCCTCCCCAGCACTGATGGTTCTTGCCTCCACCGCTGAAGCCAGCCGTGACGCTTCCATTCCCTGCCAGCAGCCGAGGCCTTTTGGAGTCCCCGTGTCAGCAGACAAGGACGTGCATATTCCCTTTACCAATGGCTCATATACTTTTGCCTCCATGTACCACCGTCAAGGCGGGGTGCCGGGAGCGTTTGCAAACCGTGACTTTCCTCCGTCCCTGCTTCACCTCCACCCCCAGTTTGCACCCCCCAACCTGGACTGCACCCCGATCAGTATGTTGAACCACAGCGGCGTCGGGGCTTTCCGCCCCTTTGCGTCTACTGAAGACCGGGAGAGCTACCAGTCGGCCTTTACGCCGGCCAAGCGCCTGAAGAACTGCCATGACACTGACTCACCCCATCTGCGCTTCTCGGACACCGATGGGAAGGAGTACGAGTTTGGCACACAGCTCCCTTCCAGCTCCCCCGGCTCCCTCAAAGTTGATGATACGGGGAAGAAGATCTTTGCAGTTTCTGGCCTCATTTCTGACCGTGAGACTTCATCCAGTCCCGAAGACCGAAGTGACAGATGTAAGTACCTCTGTTGACTTCTTGGTGGTTCTTTAATTGTGCCTCATTGAGATACTCAACAGGTGATTGTCCCACAGTGCTGTGATACTTGCTGGAGGTGGAGGCAAAGCAGCCTTTCCTGCTTGCCAAGCTCAGCCATGCAGTATTACCTTGTTCTTCTGAAAGGACTGACAGGTTTTAAGCTGAGGTGCTTGTGAAGGAAACTCACCTTCCAGCACATTCTGGAGGGGTGATATTGACCATGCAGAAAGCTGTCCGTGCCCCATTGCGAGGCTATAGGTGCTGGTTTATGTATGTGTGTAAACAGAGATGCAGCTGGAGTGCACAGCCAGAAACTTTCCCAAAGCTTGCAGCAAGCGTGTGGCCCCTGCTTCTTCAGATGTTTCTTTCTGACCTTTTCTTCATGCACACCATTCTTGCAGCAAATGATTCATCATCAGGATTTGTGCCTCCAGTTAGGACAAAAATACCTTTTCCTCTGGTTAACTTAACAATATTTCTGGCCACTGAGCTCCCTCTTTAAGGCATAAATCCAAATTGTTCTTACAACTCAATAGGCTGTTGCATCATGTGCTTTCTCTGAGTGTTTCCCCTGTTTGGTGCCGGTTGAAAGGTGATGTGCCCTTTTGCAGATCGGTGATCGGACTGAAGGAACCCAGTCCGCTTGTTGATGACTGTAACTCCGTGCTCTCCCATCACCTTGTCTCTTGTGGTGTTGCCTACACAGAAAGGCAGAACTGTCCTTCGTGAAGGGCAGGCTTCCAGGTTTGCACAGCTGGGAGGTGACCCATAATGGGGAGTGGTCTGGGGGCAGCAGAGCGTGGTACCCCAAGGAAGAGCACTGACTTATGATTAGGGTTTTCCTGTAAACCCAGAGATGTAGATCAAGGAGTGAGTGGTTTGCTTTTCACATGGGCTCCTTTGTTCTGCTAAGTTTTCTTCTTAGAAAACCATTCTATTGTTGTTGTTGTTACTATTATTGCTTTTTTTTTTTTTTTTAAACCAAAAGCTGCTGCACCGTTTCTTCCTCTCCCTTTCAGACGTGATTTTTCTTCTCCCCTTTATGATACCGAGGAGAGTAATAGAGACATTGTGGCTCTCTCTCCCCTGTCGGCGCTGCTTCCTCAGGCTGTCTCCTTGAATTAGGCACTGTGCTAACTTACCGGCGCTAAAAGGCATCTGCCTAAACCCAGCGTACCTTTTCAATAAAAGTCATCATAAAATCAACCTGCCTTGTAAATCCATCGCGCTTTGGTTTTGAAATACGCTGCAAGTGTGTCTTTTATGCCGGCATTTGCGGGGGTAGGACGGTTCCCACCGAAGGCAGGAGCCGTGTATTTCTTGCAGTACCAATGCAATGATGTCTTATCTCTCTCCCCCCTCTCCTTCTGATCCATCCCTGACCGTGCTACTTTTTGTGCTGTAAGCTCCTTTCATTGTTCAGCATCTCCTCTCCCTCCTTTTGGGTCCGTGGGGGAAGTGGCTGTGGGTGGGAGCGCGTGTGGATGTGGATGTGTGTTAAGCTGGTAATGTAATTATCCTTGGGGGAGGCAGGTGAGATGGCAAGGCTTAGAGACATCTTTGTTGATGCTCCTTCCCTTATCGATATAACCTGGCTGTGAAAATGAAGCTTGCTTGAAAGAGTACTCTGGGAGATAGCGGCGGAGGAGCGGGTCCACTACCTAAATGAATTTAGAGCGCATCAGCTGCTGTGGATCTTGCTGGCAAAATCCTGTCAGATACCCCATTTAAGGAAGTAAATCTGTTAAATGAATTAGACCACATGGAGCGCAGCTGTGGGCAGGCAGACGGGTCCACATCCACCGCTGTGCCTCGCCTTTGCCAACAGCGTGTGCCGAGCGTGGGTCCGCTCCTTCCTGGGAGCAGACGGGGCTTTGCACGGGCGCGTGCAAGAGGCAGCCAGGGTGACACCAGCTCCCTGTGCCGCTGCCAGTGCCCAGGCAGGGGACTTGCGAGGGAAAGGAAAGCAGCATAAAAACTTTGCAGGCAGCTTGGAAAACTTGGGCAGAAGTGGAAGGTGTTTTGTCATACTGTTGTTAGATTTCTTGAAGATGCTTTGCTGCGCGGTAGAGCTGAGCGAATGCAACATCCCTGATGCTTCATCGACATTAAAATTCTTCTGTAACTACCGGGATGGTGTACACTAAATATGTCTGTTGGCTCTGTATCATACTCCTATCACGTGTAGATACAGCACCATGGAAACTTTGCTCCATTTAGACGGCGAGTTTATTTGGTGTGTGCGTACACACGTATGGGTGTGTTTACCGGTGGCCGAAAGAGCAAGTGGTAGAGATTTTTAGGGGATCCTAATGGTCTTTGATGCTGAGCATCAGAAAAGCAAAACTTCCCCGGTGAGGGACTCGAAAGATCCCAGTTTGCAGATGTAGTGGTGATCCTGTTTTGCATGAACATTTGCATACATATTTTTGGAGTTTCTATATAAGTGTGTACTTGGGGGAGTTTGTTGTCTCTGAGAAGTTTGGTGGATTCCTTGAGTGATTGTTGTATATAACCCTTTGTAAAAGCTGCCTACTTTTGCTCCTGATGGAGAATCTATTGCAGGTAGGTGGCTGTAGCTTCAAGGTAAAAATGTAATTAGGCTTTTCTACAACTGCAAGCAAAAACTGTAAAATTTTCTTAGATCAGCAACACCTTCCCATGTCTAATGGGGGCTTTTCAGGTTTGCAGAGCTCAACTGTTTCGTTGTATTTTTCGGATTGGTGAAAGGGGTTTAGTTACATGGAAGCTGAATTGCTATGATTGCTCTGTGTAGTCTTCTGCTCCACTGCGCCGAAGCCTTTTCTTAATAGCTCATTAAAATATTTGTTTTACCCCGTAGCTTAAATGGTAATTTTCTGAGAAACTTCCATTAAAAAAAAATTATTCAATCGCTGAGTTTTAATTTTCCTGAAAAACAGGTTTATGCTTGAAATACTTCGCAACAAAACAAAATTCAAAGTCAGGCATTTACACCGCAAGGAGCGTTTGGAAGGTGCTTATTTAGTCCTCTGCAACATGGGAAGAAAGTCTTGGCCTGTTTTCACCAGTGGAGGAAATTGGAAGAATTCAGTAACATTTTTAGGGTATGTAGTGATGTATTCCAGGTTAACACCTGTCCCTGTAAGATGTGTGTTTGTGCAGCAGGGATCGCTCAGCCTGCTGGGTGAACCTTTCCTTGCTTTTAAAGCAGGGGGTTGCTTGGGCCCATACCCCACATCCCCCAAAGGGACAGCATCTCCTTTGGGGTGCATTTGGGTGGGATTGTGCTCTCTGTTAATCAGTAAATGGGGCTGACATGTCTGCATTTGGATTAGTTGTCTCTTGCTGTAAAATGTAACATGTAAAATTCAGGACACCCAGAGTGATGGAGTGTACAGGGGGCACATAGAAAAGTGGAGTCTTCCCAGGGAGAAGCAGACATATCGTGTACTGGATGGGCCTTAGGTGCTTACTGGGAGAAATAATGCCATTTGTTAGAGTTTAGGAGCTTCTTGTAAAGCATGTGTTAAAGACACTGGAAGACATATTTTATGGGTTTCCTTTAATAAGCGTACAATAATTGAGATTCCTAGAAGGAGTGGAAATAAATGGCATGTTCCTTTCTGCAAAAGAGATCTATAGCCCTATTTTAAAACCAGGAAAAAAAAAAAAAAAGATTCCTGGTTCTGTTCTTTACTTCCAATAAAATTTGTCCCGATGCCTTTCTATATCCAGTCACTGTGGCATTGCTTTCCCACAAAGTGACACACAGAGGTCCATGCTGAAGCTGGAACCTCCTGGCAGACAACTGGACCTTGTCAGAGCAGATACTCCTGCCTCCCCTGTGGGTCTGCCCATGGCCCCAGCCTCCTTGGGATCACAGAAGATGGTTTCCCATTGCTCTCTGCTGCTTGATCTCCATCACATGTTGTCTGTGACCTCTTGTGGAGCACAGGCCAACGTGTGGAGGTGATCCTCTACAGCCTGGACACTGATTCAGTTTCCAGGCTCTGGCCAGAGCCTGGCTCTCCATGTCTCAGTTTCCCTGCTTGTGCTGGTGGCTCTTACCAAGCTCCTGGTGTGCCCTGAGGGTGAATGATTGAGCTGGGAGCAGGCCAGGATCCCTTGGGATCATCCCTTGGGTGTGCTGGGTATAGTGGGGGTGGATCTATTAACAGTATTTTGCTTAGCATTATTTTTGATAATCACATTTAACCTTGGTTATCTGGACACAGTTTGTGCTGCAACTGGTTTCTTTTCTGCGTGAGAAGTTGTGTGCCATATTAGCGAGCTCTTTGTTCCACTTTGGGGTTTTAAAGAACATCATCAGCATGGAGTGAGTTTTCCTTCTGAAACAACTGGTTTGTTATTGATCAAATGTAAATTGCACTTCAAGTGATTGGACATCAGGGCTATGATGACCACAGCATGAATTTCTGAATAACGTGGTGCTTTGGAAATCAGATCAAACCACCCGTTCAGACGTGTGTGTGTGTTGGGATTTGTGTTTATGGGCTGGGACCTATGTAGAGAGCTCAGTGTGTGTATGTACATGTGCTGGGGGGAAGAAGGGGGTTTTTTTTCCTTATATTTTATGGCAGAACAATGGCTTGGGTGGGGAATGCACATGTGCACACATCCATCGCTCACAACTCTTCCCACTGGGATGCCTCACTTCCAGGGCTGGTAAAACTTGGGGTCTGATGTGAAGCGATGCTTTGTTGCTAATAATAATCAGCCGTGACCATGGGAAATAGCAAGCTTAACTCTGCTTATGAAATAATGAAATAAATCGAGTGGAATGTTTCTTTCTGTTTTGCAGTGCCCTGCATGATGCAGGAGTGAAGGAGCAACAGTGGGTTTTCTGAAGGGGTGGGCAGGCAGATGGGGCAGTAGCAGAGACGATGGCTGTGCCGTCCATCCCTGTTGCACCACCAAAACCACGCTGTCCTCATGGAGTGAGCTGTGTTGCGTGGAGGGAGGTCTTGGAGCATGCG